AAGCAATAGAGAAATGGCCCAAGCCTTTAACAAAACAAAACAGGTCAGGGCATTTTTAAGGCTAATGAGCTAATACAGACGATTTATTCCTGACTTTGTTACAATTGCTGCTCCTTTAACAGATCTCACAAAAGCAAAGTCTCCAGTTATGGTTAAGTGGTCTCCAGAGGCAGACATGGTACATGCATTAATATCCATGGCCGCTCACCCTACTAGATGTGAGCTGGGGAGGAAGATATGTGACGGAAAGCAAGGCATGGTTGTAAATGGGAGGTATGCAAGACCAAGCCTTTTAGATTACATCCCTCTTTTCAGTTAAAAAACCCCAGGGAAAGTGTGTATGATTTAGTTGTGCAATTTTTAAATTGTGTTCTGGGTCCCTGGGCTTGTGATAATGGAGAGATGGGTGGTCCATTATCCCATCAGCTAAGTAAGCTGTCCAGTCCAGGTTTTGTGGTTGCAGCTTGGTAATCACAGGTGTAGCCCATGATTACCATGATGTGAGTGTTCAAAAGGAAGCCTGGCTTTATGTGCAGCAGACTGTTAAGGTGCCCATACACTGCACGATTATCGTACGATAATCGTATGCGATCGGTTTTTCGTACGATAATCGAGCAGTGTGAACGGAGACGTGCGACCGTTTCTACTGTACGGTCGCACGTCTTCTGTCGAACCAGCATGTTCGAAAACCAGCCGGGAATCGCACGATTCTCGGCTGGTTAGAACGGTGCTCGGAAGATAAATGCTGAACGGGCACACTGCCCGTTCAGCATTGCGGTCATCGGAAGCCCGCCCCTCAGGGGGGCGGGCTTGCGATGATCGAGAGTGCGATCTGCCTGTCCAAGATAGGCAGATCGTACGTTTTTTTAATCCCTGTACAACCATCGCAAGACTAAAGTCTTGCGATGGTTGTAGAGTGTATGGCCACCTTTACACAGCTAGGTGAGCTGAAAGATCAAAGCCTGCATTGATATGTTTGTTTTTGAAAAGGACACTATTTTGGAAACTACATTGGAGTACAGGAAAAAACTGAATAATGCTATGAAGTTTTGTGCTTTCTGCAATTAAAGGACTGTATTTCATGAATGCAGAAATACCTGCTTACTGTGTGCTGTGGAAAATAAAGTTTTTTTGAAAAGTCAAGTGGACTGTCTGGTGTTGTATTCAGGGCTGCTATCAGAAACTTTGGGCCTGGGAGATCCCCGCCAAAGTACACTAACCGCACTCCCTTTTCACTTACACTAACCGCACTCCCTTTTCACTTACACTAACCGTACTTCCTCTTCACTGAACCGAACGCTACTTGCTTTTCACTTACACTAACCCTCTCCCCTTATCAC